CACCATCAGCAGGAAGCAGTGGCCACCCACGCGTGCACGATCAACGCTAACACAGTGGGCTCGCTGGAGCGCACCATGATGCAGATCAGGCGCGATGACGAGGATGCCATCGTCCTGGGACAGGAGCTGCAGGCCAGTGCACGCGGCTTGAGTTGTTCCAGACACGCATGCTCCAGCGGAGGTGGTACATAGGAGTTGTGAGCAGCACGGAGACCGAGTCAGGCCACGGCGCTGGAGTTTTTGTTGCGACGGCACGAAGCAGGGGCATGGACTTCGCGCGCAAGGGCATCAACCAGTGGGACATCCGTCCGCGCGGGTCCAAGAACAGACTCGCTGTGGCTTGGGTTGATGCCTGCAGCAGGGCGGGCCTCGTCTGCGGGGCCGCCAACGCATGGAACAGCGGGGGCCTCGCGGCGCGGAACCAGCATATCCTGGCGAAGTGGCGCTCCACCATGGACGCGCCCCAGCAGGAATGGGTCCTCGGGGGCGACTTCAACACGGGCCCCGAGTTGCTAGAGAACTCGGAGATCGTCCGCAGGATGAACGGGGCCATCGCGCGCGACGCCAGCGCGGGCGCCTGCGCGGGGCCAGGCGGCGAGAGGAGCGCGCGGGACTATTGCATCGTCTCGCGGGGCCCGGCGTCGGAGAGGCTCGCCGCGCAGGTAATGGGGGGCCGCAGCGCGGCGCCGCACGTGCCGGAGAAGCTGGCAGTGCCCGCGCGCCACCAGGACGCCAGCAATATCCGTGTGCTGTGCAAGCGGACGCACTGGCCAATGACGCGCCCGACGAGATGCCCGACGCAGCCAGTGGGATGGCCGAGGCTGCTAGCGAGCAGCAGGGAGTACACGCAGGGCCGCATCGACGGGCACTGGAGCGAGCTGGGGAGCGTCTACGAGAAGCACGTGAACAGGTACCGCGGCTTCGATGGCGAGGACCTCAGCAAGCGACAGGGCCACTTCGAGAGGGCGAACTACAAGTGGCAGCAGCGCCGGCCCAAGCCGTGCGCCGCGGCCGCGGAGTAGCAGCAATGGGCCGAGGGCGCCGAGTGGCCGGCGCGGCGGCCGAGGCACCTGCGGGCGCTCGCCCGAGCGCGGCGGCAGAGGGGAAATGAGCGCTCCGGTAGGCGAGGCCAGCACGTCGCAGACGGCCTCCTCAGCCACGACATCTTCCTCCTGCTGCTCGCGGCGCAGGCGCTTGGGCAGGCGACAGACGGGACCGACGCTCCAGAAGGCGGCGAGCTGGAAGGAGACCAGCTGCGGGGCACCGATTTCCAGGACGCTGACATCACGTGGGACACGATCAGCGGGCCGCTCATCGTGCACGCGCTGAAGGACACGCGCATCAGCGACATAGACGAGGGCGCCACCTTGCTGGGCCTCGCTAGCAGGCGCCACTGGGCGATGGTCCACCGCGCGGTCGCAGCGCAGTGGCGGCAGTGATGGCACCCGCTCCGTGGCAGCCGCAGACGGGCAAGGCGGCCGGCGACAGCGAGGGGGGCCACGTGTTGGCGAACCCGCAGAAGGCCGCGGGGGCAGCGCTGCAGGGCTGGGAGAGCATCTGGGGCTCCCTTGGATGGCCGAGCCACGTTGCTGCAGCCGCCCGCCGCCCTCGAGTGGGCGGAGTACAGGCCGCAGCCCATCGCCCCGAGGCAGGGGCTGGAGGGTTGCGGCCGCTTCAGGCCCAAGACGGGGCCCGGCGCGTCAGGCTGGCACCCGCGCCTGTGGGGCGAGGGCGGAGTCCGTGGAGCTGCGAGAGCCGCCAGTGTCCTCAATGCGCTGGAGGCGGGCGCGCCGTGGCCGCGGGCGCAGGACACCATCCTCTGTTTTCCTGATGGCGAAGGCGGCAGGCGGCTTCCGCAACACGGAGCTGGCGAGGCCGTGGGAGACGACCCGCATGCTGCACGCCAGGCGCTGGGAGGACGCCCGCCGCAGGCCCTGCGACCGGGCGGCGCGTGGGCGGTCCAGCGAGAGGGCCGCGTGGGAGCAGGCGCCGTTCTGCGAATCCACTGTGGCCGAGGGCATGGAGTACGCGGTCACGTACTTCGACCTTCGACCTGGCCAAGTGCTTCGAGTACGTCGCGCACGACAAGATGTGGCAGGCGGGAACCCGCTCAGAGCTCAACAGAGTCATCCTCAAGATGGTGATGCGCATCTACTCCATGGCGCGCCGCGTCGTCCTGGACAATGCGCACGCGGGCGGCAGACGCCGGGCGCGAGGTATCGCGGCGGGCAGCCGCCTCGCGCCCCTCTGCCTCAAGTCGGCCATCTTCGGGGAGCTCGACGGCGAGGCCGCAGACTTCCCGCGGGCGTCGCTATGCCTCGTCTTCGACGACCTCGTGGTCGCTACGAGGGGTGCGAGGATTTTCGTACAGTATTGGCATGCGCAGGTCGTGCAGCGGCTCGAGATGTTCGAGCGGCTGGGCATGGAGGTCTCCAGAGGCGCGGAGGGCAAGACGGCCACCATGGCCTCGACCACCGCGCTGCAGGACGGCCTCGCCAAGCGCGCGCGGCCGCTGGGCGTCAGGATGGTGCGGAACGCCGACGGCCTGGGCGTCGCCGCAGCAGCGGGCAGGAGACGACGAATCAGCCCCTCAGCAGGAGGGCTAGCAAGTATGCCGCGAAGCCAGACCGCATCGCCTGCATACGGCGCGCGGGAGGAATCGCGCAGACGATCACCAGGCAGGGCAAGGTGCCGTCGGCCATGTACGGGGCGCAGGTCATGGGCATGGCAAGCTCCGCACTGGTGCATCTGAGGCAGGGTGCGGCGACCTCCTTCAGGGGCAACACCGCTGGCAGGTCAAAGCCGGTGGTGCTCCTAGCCGAGGGCGCCGACCCAGGCGTCCGCGCCAACGCGGAGCCGCTGGCCAACTGGGCCCTGGCGTGGCAGGAGGTCGACGGCAAGCCAGACCTGAAGCGCCAGCTCCAGGAGGCCTGGAAGAAGTGGGCATATCGAGTGGGTCGCGCACAGACCCCATGGCTGCAGGTGCGAGGGCCCGCGGGGGCCTTCGTAGCGACGGCTAAGAGGTTGGAATGGCTGACACGAGCAGCCCACCACATCACCATGGGCGAGGAGATCCTGGACCTCAGGACACTCCCGATCAGGGAACTGAAGCAGCGCATCCGCAGGCCCACGGAGGACAGCCTGAAGCAGGAGTGGCTCACCAGGCACGGGGAGACGCACGGCATCACCAGCCTTTTCGCCGAGCCTGCGCAGGCGCTGTTCAAGAGGCAGCGGACTGGCCGTTGGACACTAGAGCATCAGACGAGGTGCGCAGCCTCTGGAGCGGAGGCACGCGGCCGCAGCAGCGGCTCTACGACAAGGGCGCAGCGCAGGGCAACACTTGCAAGGCGTGCCACGACGGAGCAGGGGGGGGGGCCGCCGCGGGACCTTCGCGCTCGCGGCCCGGGCTGAACGCAGGAATGCAGTCGGAGGGCGTCGCATGCGCCAGCGTGGGGCTGCGAGTTGGCCCGGGGCGTCGGAAGCGCAGCGCGCTGCGTCCGAGGCGCTCTGGGGACGGGGCCTGGCGCCAGACCCCGCGAAGGAGTTCGAGCTGTGGGGCCAGCCCTCCAGGGGAGCCAGCGCCGTGGAGGGCGACTTCATCGGGTTCGTGCACGGAGCCGTCTACACCGACGGCAGCCTCCTGGTCGGTGAGTACCCAGCATTTCGGCGAGGAGGCTGGGCTTTCGTGCAGCTGGACAAGCGGCGCGAGGTGCAACGTGCTTGGTTTGGCCCGCTCGAGGGCCCCCAGAGCGACCAGTCGACCTACGAGGGCGAGCTGGTGGCGATCGCCAAGGTCCGCGAGCGGGTCTGCCCGCCAGTCAGGTTCTATTCGGATTGCAAGGCCGTGGTCGACGGCTTCGAGAGAGGGCCCGCCTGGGCCGCACGCGCAGACGCAGCCCACAAAGAAGTTTGGCTGCGATGTTGGAGGCTCGTAGAAGAAAATGGAGGGATAGGGCCGCAGGGAATCACATTATTCAAAGTGAAAAAAAAAACATATCACCAGGGCCCAAAGGGCTCACATGGGGCCCCAGCCGATCATAGGCACCAGTATTGCGGACGCCCGCGCAAAGCGAGGGGCTCGGATTAATCAACACGAGGCCTGGCATAGGGCCACGTACATTCAGAGGTACATGTTGGTTTCAGACATTCTAGAGCTCGCCGCACACATCGGGGCCCTCGGCCACAGGCTCGAGGACACCTCCGAGAGACCTGGGCCCCGCGGGGCCCAGGGTCGTCCCCTCCCCCCGCCCCCCGACGCTTAGTGGGAGAGTGGAGGGCCCGGCGGGCCCCCCACAGCCCCCACCTGGCCCCGTGTTCCCCCCCCCCCCCCCCGCGACCCCCGTGGCGCTCAGAGATCGGATCCAGAGGGCACGTGCCGAACGCCACCAGATCGTGTGCCTGCCAAGACTAGTTTTATGTCGGAGGTGTGCTAGGCACGCCAGGGACAGTGAGGCCCTCGATTGCCCAGGACAGGCCTGGGATGAAGGGCGCCTCCTAGGGTTTCGTCGCCGCGCCTTCGGCCGCCTCGACAAACCGACAGCGAGCGAATCCTCCTCCTCCTCCTCCTCCTCCTCCTCCTTTTCCTCCTCCTTCTCATCCTTCTTTCCCCCCCCATCCTCCTGCTCCAGGCCTTCGTCCTCTCCCTCCGCCCCATCCTCCTCCTCCTGCTCCGTCCCTCCTGCTTCCGCGCTCCTCCTCCTTTTTCTCCTCCTCCTCCTCCTGCGCTTCGTTTCCTCTTCCTGATCGTGTCTCGCCGTGCTCTTTCTGGGTATTGTGGGCCCAGGCCAATCCATGATTCATGGTCGTCCTCCCCATGGTGCTTATCCCCTTCTCGTTATCCTGCTTCCCCATCCTCCTTCTCGCCCTCCTTCCCCCCGCCCTCCCAAAAATATTCGGTGACATTTAAACGGCCATTTCACTTCTAAGTTCACGTTAGTCAGTTGAAAGTTGTCAGTGGGATAGATTTGTCGCCCTTCTTGCCCTCCGCGGGGCGCCGCGCTCCTCCAGAATCGTGCGGGGAATGCCGGGGCTGGAGGGGACCCGCGGCCCGCACGGCGGCAAGACCGCCGCATTCGTCGAACAGGGGGGGTAGGATGAGGAGGAGGGAGAAGACGAGGATGAGGAGGATGAGAGGGAGGAAGAGGATACTGAGGAGGAGGGGGAGGAGGAGGAGGAGGAGGAGGAGGAGGAGGAGGAGGAGGAGGAGGAGGACGAGGACGAGGAGGAGGAGGAGGAGGAGGAGGAGGAGGGGAAGGAGGGGGAGGAGGGGGAGGGAGAAGGAGGAGGAGGAGGAGGAGCAGGAGGCGGAAGAGGAGGAGGAGGAGGAGGAGGAGGAGGAGGAGGAGGCGAGGAGAAGGAGGAGGCGGCGGAGGAGGAGGAGGAGGCGGACGAGTTGGAGGAGGGGGAGGAGGAGGAGGAGGGGCAGGAAGAGGATGAGGAGGAGGGGGGAGAAGAGGTGGGAAAAGGAGGAGGAGGAGGCGCAGGAGGAGGAGGAAGAGGAGGAGGAAGAGGACGCGGAGGAGGAGGAGGAGGTGGAGGAGGCATGGAGGAGTGGAGTGGGGATGATGATGATGATGTTGATGCTGATGATGGTGATGGTGATGGTGATGATGGTGATACTGACGCTAGCGATGATGACGAGGGTGATGCTGATAATGATGATGTTGATGCTGATGTTGACGCTGATGGTGATGGTGCTGATGCTGACGCTGATGGTGCTGATGCTGATGCTGATGATGGTGATGGTGATGTTGATGATGCTGCTGATGATGATGCTGCTGCTTCTGCTGATGATGATGATGATGATGATTGTGATGGTGATGCTGCTCATGATGATGCTGATGATGCTGATGATGCTGATGCTGATGGTGATGTTGATGCTGATGCTGGCGATGACGATGGTGAGGATGAGGATGAGGATGCTGATGACGATGCTGGTGATGCTGATGATGATGATAATACTGATGATGGTGATGCTGATGCTGATGATGCTGAGGCTGATGCTGATGCTGCTGATGATGCTGATGCTGATGCCGATGCCGATGATGATGAGGAGGCGGAGGATGCGGAGAAGGAGGGGGATAAGGAGGAGGGGGAGCAGGAGGAGGAGGAGGCGGAAAGGGGAGGAGGAGACGGGGAAGGAGACGAAGGGGCAGCAGGAGTAGGGGGACGAGGGAGAGCAAGCGCAGGAGGATGAGGAGGAGGAGGAGGACGAGGAGGAGGAGGAGGAGGAGGTGGAGGATGGGGATGAGGAGGAGGAGGAGGAGGCGGAGGAGGAGCAAGACGAGGACGAGGAGGATGAAGATGAGGAGGAGGAGGAGGCGGGGGAGGAGCAGGAGGGGGAAGAGGAGGGAGGGTGGAGGAGGAGGAGGGAGAAGAGGAGGGGGGAGGTGGAGGAGGAGGAGGAGGAAGGAGAGGATGAGGCGAAGTATGACGACGCTGGTGATGATGATGCTGCTACTGATGATGCTGCTAGTGACGATGATGATCATCCTGATGATGATGATGATGATGATGATGATGAAGATGATGATGATGATGATGATGATGATGATGCTGATGATGATGATGATGATATTCATCATGCTGGTTATGATGCTGACGCTGCTGATGTTGATGATGCTAAGTTTGATGCTGCTGAGGATGATGAGGATACTGATGAGGATGAGGATGACGATGATGCTGATGCTGAGGATGATGATGACGAGGCTTATCATGCTGATGATGCTGCTGATGATGATGATGCTGCTGATGGTGATGATGATGCTGATGATGATGGTGCTGATGATGATGATGATGATGATGATGATGATGATGATGATGATGATGATGATGAGACTGAGGTTGATGCGAATGCTGATGATGATGGTGGTGGTGATGATGATGCTGATGTTGATGGTGGTGATGATGATGATGATGATGATGATGATGATGAGGATCAGGAGGAGGCGGCGGCGGAGGAGGAGGAAGCGGAGGAGGAGGACGAGGAGGAGGACGAGGACGAGGAGGAGGAGGAGGATGCATGGAGGAGTGGAGGAGGGGGATGATGATGATGCTGCTGATGATGATGGTGCTGATGATGATGATGCTGACGATGATGGACGTGATGATGATCATGGTGATGATGATGCTTGTGATGACGATGATGGTGATGCTGCTGATGATCGTGATGAGGATGAGGATGAGGATGAGGATGATGCTGATGATGATGAGGATAACGATGATGATGACGAGGATGGTGATGAGGATGCTGACGATGTTGATGATGCTGATGATGATGATGCTGATGCTGATGATGATGATGATGATGATGATGATGATGATGACGACGACGACGATGATGATGATGATGATGATGATGATGATGATGATGATGATGATGATGATGATGATGATGATGATGATGATGATGCTGATGATGCTGATGCTGCTGCTGATGATGCTGATGATGATGAGGAGGGGAGGAGGAGGAGGGGAGGAGGCGGAGAAGAAGAGTGAGGAGGAGGAAGGGGGGAGGAGGAGTAGGAGGAGTAGGAGGAGAAGGAGGGGGTGGGGAGGAGGAGGAGGAGGAGGAGGGTGGAGGAGGAGGGAAGGAGGGAGGAGGGAGGAGGGAGGAGGGAGGAGGGAGGAGGGAGGAGGGAGGGAAGGAGGGGGAGGAGGGAGGAGGGAGGAGGGAGGGGGAGGAGGAGGAGGAGAGGAGGAGGAGGAGGAAGGAGCAGGAGGAGGAGGAGGAGGAGGATGAGGAGGGAGGAGGAGGGAGAGGAGGAGGGAGAAGGAGGAGGAGGAGGAGGAGAGGAGGAGGAGGAGGAGCAGCAGGAGGAGGAGGAGGAGGAGGAGGAGGAGGAGGAGGAGAGGAGGAGGAGCAGGAGGAGGAGGGGGGGGAGAAGGAGAGTGGGAACGAGACGAGGGGGCAGCAGGAGTAGGTGGAACAGGGATAGCAGAGGAGGAGGAGGAGGAGGAGAGAAGAAGAAGAGGAGGAGGAGGAGGAGGAGGAGGGAAGGAAGGAAGGAGGGAAGGAAGGAGGAGGAGGAGGAGGAGGAGAGGAGGAGGAGGAGGCGGAGGCGGAGGCGGAGGAGAGAGAGGAGGAGGAGGAGGAGGAGGAGGAGGAGGGAGAGGAGGAGGAGGCGGAGGAGGAGTACGAGGAGGAGGCGGAGGAGGAGGCTCCGCGATTTGGGGAGGTGCCCCTGGGCGTCGAGTACAAGATCGCCAACATCGAGGCCACCGAGAAGGCCAAGCGCGAGTTCCTCTACGGCGAGGGCGCCGGCGCCAGCAAGGGGGCCCGCGGGGGTAGCGTCGAAGAAGAAACACGGCATCTTCATCATTTTTGGGAGGTCTCTTTCTTCTTCTCCTCCTCCTCCTCCACCTTCTCCCTCCACGCCCTCCCTCCAGCTCCCTCCACCCCCTCCCGCCATGTCCTCCCTCCTCTTTCCATCGGCGGCCTCCTCCTCCACCTCCTCCTCTTCCTCCTCCTCCTCCTCCTCCTGCCCTCCCTCCTGCTCCTGCTCCCTGAGCCGATGCAACCCCCAAACGTTGCCCCTGACTGGTGGAACAGACAGCAGCGTAAACATTATGCTCGGAGTTCCACGCAGATTTCTTGGGTCGGCGCTGGGCCACTCTGGCGCGCTCCGCGCGCCAGGAAGGGGCGTCCAGCGCCAATCCAAGAAATCTGCGCGGACCTCCGACAGCGTATGTAGATTCAAGAGGTTTACGCCATTCCGCCGACCCTCAGAAGAGGCGGGGAGTCCACGGTTGAGGCGTCGTGGGCTTCGTGGGTATTATTTGGGGACTCTTGAGGGCTTCTTTTGAACTGTTTTGGGGCGTGGCCGAGCCTCTTGGAGGCAGTTTTGAAGTGTATTGGGGGCCGTTTTGGAGCCTCTCGGGGGCCTTTTGGGCGCCTCTTGTGGGGTGCATCTTTTTTGGCCGTTTTGGGACTTCTGGGGGGGGCTCTTGGGGCGGAACGATAGTATTTTCGGTTCGTCTTCTCTCTCGTGACCTTTCTTGGGGCCGTCTTGGGGCGATCTTTGGCCGTCTTGGGCCCCGCTTTGGGCCGTTTTGGAACCCTCTTGGGTTCAAAAGCAGTAGTCACATAATCTGGGGACCATGCTTCGACAATTATTTGGGGAGTATGTTTCATTTTTTTCGTCCAAAATCCGTCTGTAGGGGGACATGCCCACCCTGACTCTTGCCGTCATCGTCTGTAGGCGCACGCTGGAGGCCAGCGCAGACGGCAAGGGCGAGGGAGCCGATGCGATGTTCCAGTGATCACTCTGCGGCACGGAAACGGAGCGGAGTTGGTTTTCCAGGGGACCTGCAGGCACTATCCCTATTGCGTCACCCCTCGCCTCCCTTGGCAACCCGATGTGATGCGTCGATTCCATGTGCAGCTAGTTATCGAATCGCTACGTTCCTTCCGCCGCCCCAGGCGCTTCCATCGCGGGAGTTTGCCCGCGTGTTCGTTGCTAGTGCGGCGCTGATGGGTGGTTGTAGTTTCCTTGGAGTATTTCGCGAGCAGTTATGGGCGTCTCGGGACAGAGGGCTCGAAATGGCTGATCGTGTCCCCCAGTTTGGCCCCCTCTGGACTCCCTCTTGGGCTGTCTTGGGAGGGATCATTGTAGCATTGTTGAAACTTGCCTGTGAGCTCGGGGGGGCATTTTTTCCCTCGTGGAGCCTCTCGGGGGCCTTGTGGCCCGGAAGGCTGTCCCCAGGAATTCCAGCATCCGTGACACCGACCGCCCAGGACTTGCCCTGGTTTTGCCCGGAACCCGCCCGCGAACCACTGCTTGGGCGTTGCGTAATGAGGGGGGGTCGTAAATGGGGGGGTGGCGAGGGTGGTCCGAAAAGGTACCCAAACGGTACCTAAACGAGCCCCCTGGGGGTCCGGAGGGGCTCGAAAGGGGCACGAAAGGGGACCGTTTCTGACCCCCCCATTTATGACCCCCCCATGAAGCCACGCCCAAACTGCAGGGGCCGCGGCGCGCGCGCGAACCAGAACAATCGAAATTTGTCACCGGAGATTTTAACACCACTCTGGCTCGTTGGGCCGGTGAATTTCGAGTGCGTGCATGAGCGCCAAGGGCACCGAAGCAACATGTGCAGGCACGCGACGAGACACGATGGCACGGCACGGCGCAGCATTGCGTGCTTCACTGTGCACGGCACGGCACGGTATCGCAAGATGGACCCTGGACGCGTCTACGTTTGGGCCACCAGCGGTTGCGCCATAGGTGGCGCAACGCGCGCTCCCCGAGACACGAACGACTTGGAGCCCTCTCGGGGCCCCTTGCGGGACTCTTGGGCCCTCCTGGGAGCCTCTCTTGGGGCGGAAGCCTGGGATTTCAGATCCGGGCCCCTCTTGGGACCGTCCTCGGGCTCTCTGGGGCCGCCTTGGACGCCCCATGGGCCGCATTGGGGCCCTCTTTGGCCAGCGTGGGGCGGTTTCGGGGGCCTCTTTTGGTCGTAACGATGATAGTAGTAGTCGTCTGTAATAATAACCTTGAATGCGGGGCGGCGGCGGGCTCAATCTTTCAATTCCGACAAAGCGCGGGGCAGTTGGGGGGGGGGCCTCCCGTGGCGGTCTTGGGGGCCGCCTTGGGGCGGTCTTGGGGGGGCTTCTCGGGGCCCCACGGCCCGCCCTCCCGAGCGCTCAGGCTTGCCCCGCTCCGTCCACTGCCGCCGAAGCAGCGGTTCGGCCCCGCGCTGCGCGGGTTGCGCCCGGGAGAGGCGCACGTTTCGCCCCCCCCCCCTCGGGCGCCGCGTAATGGGGGGGTCATAAATGGGGGGGTGGCGAGCGTGGTCCGAAGAGGTACCCAAACGGTACCTAAACGAGTCCCCTGGGGCTCTGGAGGGGCCCGAAAGGGGGCACGAAAGGGGACCGTTTCTGACCCCCCCATTTGTGACCCCCCCATGAAGCCACGCCCAACACCCCCCCCCCCCCCGAGTGACGATCTGCTCCGCCCGTGTCGAGGTTCACCAGAGGTCGCGACGCAGGGGCGCGGGCATAATGCTTATGTCCACATCCAGATCGTCTTGGGCTTGTCGTGGAGGAGCGCCGCAGGGCCAAGGCGCACCGGATGTTGATGAACGTCGAGCTTCTTGGGGCCAGATTTTTACTCCAGATTTCGTAATAAAAGGGAGGGGGTCTCAACCCTCCCAGACGAGAAGTTTTAGACCTCCCCCGTGGGAGAACCCTCCAAAACATCGTCCCCAGACCACCCCAGACCCTCCAAGATAGCCTGGAAGAGACCCCCCCCAGTGCGCATCCGGTTTCTGGGGAGGAGAGCCCCAAAACTCCAGGACGCATCGGATGTGGATCTAACCACTGCCCGCAGCAGGTGGTGCACGGGGCACCTCCCCATGGAATCGTGGTTTGCCCCGCTCTGCGCGAGTCACGCCCGGCACGGCGCTCCCCTTGATCCACGGCTTCTCGGTGGCAGATCACGGGAGCCTGGTGTACCGTCAAACATCTTAATAAGGACGCGCGACTTTGCTCAGGGTAACCTTGCGTCCTTGCTCTTCCTTGCTCTTGCGTCCTTGAGGTTTTCGTCATCCGCCGCCCCAAAAATCCCAACTTCGGCTTCCAAGGGTCTTGCGTCCTTACCGCGCGTCCTTACTAGGGTTTTTGGCTGTACCGTCGGACCGTTGAAGAAGGAACCTTTTTCGCTGGGGAGGGGCTCAGTGTTCCTTACTTTCTTTACAGCTCGTCTTAGGTTCTCCTTAGGCGTTCTATGCGAGATCGAAGTTTAGCTTATGGAAAAAAGGAGCCTCGTCCCTTGTCGATTAGCGTCTTGGAGTCGATGAGCTAGCGCCGATTTAGCGTCGGTCAGCGTCGATGTAGAGTCGATGTAGAGTCGATTAGCGTCGATTCGCAAGAGCCGACAAGATAGTATGGGAGGCTCCCATGAGTTGTCACCGAACGATTTGCCACGCCAGTTGCGCCACAGGTTGCGCTCGGGAGGCTCTCCCGAGCCGCGGCTTGCAAGAGCTACAGCGGCAGCATCTGTTGCTTATGGGATAGAGTATTCCGCACGCTTCACGCACAGAGGGCATCACGACGAGGAGTGCAAGGAGGAGGAGGAGGAGGAGGAGGAGGAGGAGGAGGAGGAATGGGCTTCCAGACCCAACGGGCCTGGCTCCCAGTGCCTGCGCAGAGTCGGAGAAGGACAGAGTGATAGGAGGACAGGAGCCCAGACATACGACGTCCTGATTTTTTCAGGACGGCGTCCCTGAAAGTCCCGACCCTTTCCCCGGAACCGGTTTTTCATCCTGAGTCGTTTTTTGACGGTCCTGGGGCCCGGCGAGGGCCTCTAGGGATCGAAAATCACGAGAAACCTCCCGTCCTGATTTTTTCCGACGCCATCATGTCTGGGAGACGGGAGGCCGCGGCTGTGATGGAGCCAGACGCGGTGACGCGGAAGGCCTTCGGCTCCCGGTTTATGCACTTCGCGGACAGGACCGGCGTTGTCTTCTGCGCCCAGCTCGGGAGGGCAGGAGGGCATCAATGACACACGCCGCCGCTGGAAGAGCCCGCCAGCGTGTATTGCCCTGTGGCCGTTGCCCGAACGCGGGTTGCCTCCTCAACCGCTTCGCGCTCGTGGGTCGCCCACGGTGGCGTGTCTGATGGGCATGTTTTCCACCACCACCACCACCATAAGTTAGAGGGGGGGGTCCTCCTCCTCCTCCTTCTCATCCTCATCCTCAACCTCATCCTTATCCTTCCCCCCGTCCAACTTATGGTGGTGGTGGTTCTGCAAAAAAGGCCCCTCAGGTTCGTTGATCGTTTCGTTTGCTCCCCGCCACTTGCACACGGTGTGAACCTCAGGTTGCCCGCTGGGGCGCGAAGGTGCCGTTGAATGCGACGCTGAACCAAGGACCACATTGGGCTCAAAAGGTGCTCTGATGTCGTGGCACCTGGGGCGCGAAGGTGCAGTCACGACGCTGAACCAAGGACCACTGTGCGCATATAGTAGGTGCCCTGACGTCGGGTCCGTTCCTTCGATCCAGGCGAGGCGCGCGCCTCGCGCATCGACGAGCGCGGCCCGCTCCAAGTTTGGCGACCTGGGCTTCATGCCCAGCCCGCCTTCGCTGTGTGTGCGTGTGTGGAGAGGGGAGGGAGGGGACGCAGGGCTAATGTCGGCTCCTATTCGCTTCGATTCGCTCTCGGACGATTCCGATGCCGATTCGGTTCGACTTCGGATTCCGATCTGGGTTTCGGTTTCTCGATGGAGGCCTTACTAGCTTGCCGATTTGTGCGCCGATTCGACTTCTCCCGACTTGGCTGCCGATTTTTCCGCCGATCCGATGCACTCTGGTCGTCGGTCTGGCTTCTCGATGCGGTTCTGGGCTCTCCCGCCTCCCTCCGCGGGTGGTCCCAGGGGGTCCGGTTTCCGGACCCACGCTTCTCCGCCTGCTCCGTTCTTCTCTGCCCTGCCTCGTGCTGCTGCGGGGAGGGAGGGGGAGGAAGAGGAGGAGGAGGAGGAGGAGGAGGAGGAGGACGAGGACGAGGAGGAGGAGGAGGAGGACGAGGAGGAGGAGGAGGAGGAGGAGGAGGACGAGGAGGAGGAGGAGGAGGAGGAGGAGGAGGACGGGGAGGAGGAGGACGGGGAGGAGGAGGAGGAGGAGGAGGACATGGTGAGGACAGCGCCCCCCGGGCCCGTCGGCTCCAGAGCGGCGTGCGGGAGGCCGAGGTCAGTTTGAGGAAAGGCTCGACGAGCGGCCCTCCTGAGTCGGGGGTGGACAGAACCCCCAACAGTGACACGTCGATTAGTGAATTGTCCGTTTTCGGTTTTCGAGAGGGCGCCGTGGCCGTTATTTTCCAGGCTTGCGCCCGCCAGGTTTGGGCCCGAAGTCGTTTTCACTAAACCACGTTTTGCTAAAGGGAGGTTTGTCCATCCCCGACTGAGCTGCTGCCCCCACGGGCCCCTCTCACGGACCTCGGCTCGGCGCAGAAGCACCCCGCGTGACGAGTTCCTGTAGGAAGAGCTGGAGTCGAGCAGTGGCGAAGCGTCCTGGCTCCCCCACAGGCCCACCGAAGAGCATTCTGGGAACCTTCTGGGGTCTGCAAGACATGTTTTCAGAACATTTCTGGCCGGCACGGCTGCCTGTTGGGCAGCATCGTGTTCAATGTTGTGTGCAGCAAGGCTTCGTTGGAGTTTCATTCCGACTGCGAGGCCCACGGTGTTCCAGTCGGCGTGCGCTTCTCCAGAGGTGTCTCTTCAAGCAAGACCAGGCTGACGCATCGGTACAGGACGAGAGCAGCAGACGTATTCGACATCACCCTCGTCCACGATGAAGCCGTGATGGTTGTGGCATCAGTGCCGGGAACTATGTCCACTAAGTTTGTCTTCGTTGTCAAGTCGCTGCGCTGGTGGGTCCGCAAGTACGCGCTGGACATCAACAGGAAAGAAGGTGAAACAGAGGGCATCTTGCGCGGAGAGGCAAGCGCGCAAGGAGAGGAACACTCAAACTGTGGAAATCCTGGCCAGCAGACGGTCGCCGAGACGGCTAGATAAGCGCCAGTCAGCCACGGACTGCCTGGAGCAGACCGTTAGGAACAGCACGAGCACCTGGGATGCATCCGCAGGCATCCTCGAAGGGAACGGCAGCGTGCTCCCCCAGGTGCTCAGCAGATGTAAGTCAACAGTGCATCAATTGGCTCCGCTTGTGGCGTTGCTCGGCTCGCGGCACGTCAGTTTCCGCTGGCGCGTCCACCTGACTCACTCGCTAATCATATCCAAGCTGCTGTACAATTCCCAAGTTTTAGAAAAACTAAACAAGAGGCCAGAAAAAAATACACAGGAATTCAATACCATGTATATGCTCGTTTGTCGAGGAGTGGCCACTGACCCGCGCTTCCGCGGGACAGAGCTCGCTGACGTCACAGTACAGCAGATGCTGCAGGTGGCCTCACTGGATTGCTGTACTTCTCGCGACTTCAAGGGTTTTTCTTGAACCGCTGCACGCAGTGCTACAGCAGCCTACCCCTTCGGGCGAGCTGCTGCCGTGGGTGAGGCACCCTCTTCAGGATCTCGACGTGCTGCGGGCCCATCTGCTCCAGAAGTCTGGGGAGATGCCGTGTGACCAGATCCAGCCTTGGTGTGTGTTGGCGGCGACATGCTCAGGCGAATGGAGATCCCGGGCCAGGTGTCGCGCCATGGTCCGTGGCGACGCGCAGCGCCTGAAGCTGGGCACGCAGGGACCGCATGGCAAGCGTTAGGTCGGGCATGTCCCCCTACAGGCGGACTCTGAGCGAAACATAAGAAATACTCCGAACAAACTCCAAACCGGTCAAACCACATCCAAAACATCGTCCCCCAGACTATTTTTGGACTGTTTTGGAATATTCCTCCTGTAGAGGGACAGGCCCGACTTAAGGCAAGCGCCACCACGCAGACGTTCGCGCAGCAGTTCGATTGGAGTGGTCCGTGTGCGAAGCTGTTGCCCATCGGCAGAGGTCCACGCGCACATGTGGCCAAAAAGCAGCGCGAGAGACAAGCTCGGTGCGCTGACGGGTCGGTGACGCGTCGCGGTGCCTGGTCTGCGCCGCAGTATTCGGGTGCTGTGCGAGGCCGGTGAGACACCCGCCAGAGCGCAGCGTGAGGAGCGCAGCGCGCGGCAAGTCGTGCCACGAGCAGCTGTTAACCTTAAGTCGGGCCTGTCCCCCTACAGGGGGGATATCAAAAAATAGTTACCAAATTATCCGGGGGCGATGTTTTGACAATTGTTTTGTTTGCATTTCTTGCGTATGTTTTCTTTCTCGTCCAACATCTCGTCCAACATCTGCCTTTAGGGGGACATGCCCGACATAACGCTAACCCTCAGCCTCCTTCGTGTCCCTGTCGAGGTCTACAGTCAACGCGCCTAGTAAGGACGCGCGCCTTCATCTAGGGTACCCTTGTGTCCTTGCCTCTGCGGCCCGTCCTTCGCCGTTTTCTCTGGCCGCCCCCCGCCCCAAAAACCCAACTTCGGCCTCCAAGGGTCTTGCGTCCTTATCACCCCTCCTTGATGTACTTTTTTATTATTGTACGGACAGCTGCAAGGACGAGACGCTGCCTTGACGAAGGCAACACGGGCGGCCAGCCCCACGAGCCTCGTCGCCGGCCAGCCTGCGAGACAGGTGAAGCCCAGCATCCTCAAGAAGACCGGGGTGCACCGGCCCGTTGCTTCTTTATCTCCCCCCGCAATCCAAACAGAGGACGGGAGGAGGAGGAGGAGGAGGAGGAGGAGGAGGAGGAGATCACAGTGCGTGGCCCCACTGTCTCTCTCTCTCTCTCTCGCTCTCTCTCCCTCTCCCTGTCCCCCTCTCTCGCGAGTCCTCTTCCACTCTCTCTCTCTCTCTCTCTGCGCAGCGCCCTGCAGCACCCTCGCGCTGCCGCCAGCAATGGTGGCATCGTCGAGGGCCCGGGGGCCTGGGCTCCCCGGGGATCTCTCCGCGCGCTCCCGCGGGCGAGCTCCGAACCCGTGCCGCCGGGCCGCCCGGCGGTCCCGGTCTGGCCCGTCCGCCAAGTGTTTGGACGCCATGTTCTTAGAACACAAGCCCGATGTGTTGAAGCAAGACACTCCCAACCAGAAATGTTCTAAGAACATTTCGTGGGAACCACAAAAGATTCTTAGAACATTGTTTGGTTTGGCTATTGGCGAGCCAGGACGCTTCGCCACTGCTTGAATCGCCAGTGCCTTCGCCGGCGTGGCCGGCGCGCCAACGCCTCACGAACCTACCGTACGTTTGGACGCCCGAAATGGGTACGGAAAAAATGGGCACTATGCCCAACAACAAATGTTGCCCCGAACCAACAGCGGCCGCTGTTGGGCAGGCGGCCTTCTGTCTCGAATGGACACCGGCCGCGGCGGCGTGGGCAGCGACTCCTGTTCAAAATGAACAGGAACTGCTGTTGGGCATTGCACCCATTCTTTCCGTACCCATTTCGGGCGTCCAAAAAGTGGTGCTTCTCGGACGCTCGCCGTTCGCATTGCCGCCTGTACGCCTGCGGCCCGCCTGCCTGCATGACCCCCCGCTGGGCTTCCAGCGGGGCCAGGACGCGCAGCCATGACCTAGAGTCGTCGCCCTCGGTCGGGTCGTGTGGTGTCGAAAAAAAAGAGAGTAGTGCTTCTCGGACGTGCTTGCTGGGGGTTTCGGTGCAGCATCGGCCCCGGAGCATCCGTAGCGGGAGTCAGGTGTCGTCGCCCCCTCAGCTCCTGCCGGTCCCGCTCGCTCTGGCCGGAGCCTGATGCGGCCTGCTCCTGGACCGAAGGAGGGCCAGTTCTGAGCATCGGTCGCCCGGTCCCCAGCCCCAGCGGCGTGGCCTGGGCCCCACTGGCCGCTTCCCCCCCCCTAGAATGGGTATAGGTCCAGGTCGTTCCCTTCGGGTTTCGAGGAGAGTGTGTATCCCCAGCTGGGGTGGTACTGTGGTGGGGGTCTCGAAGGGGATGGGGATGGGGATGGGGATCGGTTTGAACGATGCCGAGGCTCGGTGCAGACGTCCTCCCAACGAGTCGCCTCCCGACC